ATGAGCTCACGGCTCATGAGTTCAAGCCCCGCCTCGGGCTCTGTGCTGACAGCTCAGAGCCTGGAGCCTGCTTCAGATTCTCTCTCTCTCTCTCTCTCTCTCTCTCTCTCTCTCTCTGCGCCCCTCTCCCACCCACTCTGTCTGTCTCTCTCAAAGACAGACAAACATTAAAATTGTTACTAAAGGATTGTTTTTGCTGGAATAGAATTTCTATGCAACACAGAGGACAGATCATAATAAGACACAATGGTGAATTGTGACAAATGTGTATGCCTGTGAACACACCGCCTCATTTAAGATATGGAACCTTTCCATTATCCCCAAAAGTCCCTTGCGCCCCTTGTAGCCAGTCCCTGCCCATGATCTCCCCCAACCCAGTCCCCATCCCAGCCAACAACTGTTCCAATTTCTGTCACCACGGATTAGGTTCAACTGTTTGAGAACTGCACATAAATTGAATCATATATACTAGGTACTCTTGATTCTGGTTTCTTTTGCTCAAAGACACATTCTTTTTTTTTTTTTAATTTCAGGAGAACTTAGTGATTTGTCATTTACATATGACACCCAGTGCTCATGCCAACAAGTAGCCTCCTTAATGCCTATCACCCATTTAACCCATCACCCCACCGCCCTCCCTTCCAGCAACCCTCAGTTTGTTTTCTGTATTTAAGAGTCTCTTATGGTTGCCTCCCTCTCTGTTTTTATCTTATTTTTCCTCTCCCTGTGTGCCTGTTTTGTTTCTTAAATTCCACGTGTGAGTGAGATCATGACATTTGTCTTTGTCTGACTGACTTATTTCGCTTAGCATAATACGCTCTAGTTCCCTCCACGTTGTTGCAAATGGCAAGATTTCATTCTTTTTGATGTCTGAGTAATATTCCATTGTATATACACCATATCTTCTTTATCCTCAGTTGATGGACATCTGGCTGTTTCCATAATTTGGCTATCGTTGATAGTGCTGCTATAAACACTGGGGTGCATGTGCCCCTTCAAGTCAGCATGTTTTGCATCTTTTGGATAAACATCTAGTAGTACAATTGCTGGGTCATAGGATAGCTCTATTTTTAATTTTTTGAGGAACCTCCATACTGTTTTCCAAAGTGGCTGCACTAGTTTGCATTCCCACCAGCAATGGGGTCCCCTCTTTCTGCATCCTCACCAACATCCGTTGTTTCCTGAGTTGTTCATTTTAGCCATTCTGACCGGCGGGAGGTGGTATCTCATTGTGGTTTTGATTTGTATTTCCCTGATGATGCATGGTGTTGAGCATCTTTTCATGTGTCGGTTGGCCATCTGGATGTTTTCTTTGGAAAAGTGTCTGTTCATGTCTTTTGCCGATTTATTCACTGGATTATTTGTATTTTGGGTGTTGAGTTTGATAAGTTCTTCATAGATTTTGGATACCAACCCTTTATCTGATATGCCATTTGCAAATATCTTCTCCCATTCTGTTGTTTAGTTTTGTTGTCAACAAAACACTCTTGAGACTCACTCCTAATGTTGCCTGATCAGTAGCTTATTCCTTTTCACTGCTGATAATGTCAAACGATACACCACAGATACACCGCAATCTGTTTATTCATTATCCCACTGATGGAAATTTGGATCATCGCCAGGTTTTGGCTAAGATGAGGAAGACTTACGAACATTCTTATATAATCTTTTGTGGCAATTTTTATACATTTCTTAGGTTTTTAAAAATTCCTTTTGAATACAGGGAGTTGTCTTGTTATGTAGCTACTCTTGTTGCTTCCTAAATTTCAGTGGAAGACAGAGAAGGGGCCAGGAAGAGGCAAAGGAAAAAGTCAGGCTCTGCTGTGTTTCCCAGAAGGGCCATCACATCCCATGGCCAATCGGACATTTGTTATAAGGAATGTATTTAATATATGCATTTAATCCTGTTGTATGAGAAGTAGTCAGAATACTTCTTTAAAAGTATGCCCTTGGGGCGCCTGGGTGGCGCAGTCGGTTAAGCGTCCGACTTCAGCCAGGTCACGATCTCGCGGTCCATGAGTTCGAGCCCCGCGTCAGGCTCTGGGCTGATGGCTCGGAGCCTGGAGCCTGTTTCCGATTCTGTGTCTCCCTCTCTCTCTGCCCCTCCCCCGTTCATGCTCTGTCTCTCTCTGTCCCAAAAATAAAAATAAACGTTGAAAAAAAAAATTATAAAAGTATGCCCTTACTATCAAAAAATATGAGCAACAGATATCCCTGAGTCCCACTATACCTTTAACATACACTCAAGATATCCAGGGTTTTGGGTTCCTATTTTCTTCACTTCTGTAAAATTTGAATTTCCTATGAGTATGCCTTATTTTATAATCAGAAAAACAATAAAGGTTCTTGAAGTCTGTTCAATGTGGGTGAATCTCTAAGAACATGCCTCCTCTCCCTCAAAATCACCATTATGATGGAATTTAATGATATCCAACACTATATATATATATACATATATATATAGTATGTATTATGTGTGTGTGTGTGTATATATATATATATATATATTCATAAATAAAGAGAAAATATTACACATTTGACAGAAAAAAGTCTTGAACAGCCTGGAGCTGAGAAGTTATCAAATTATGGCCCCATCACCCTCTCCCACAAGAAATGACTAAAATATACCAAATAAGATCAGCATAATAAAGCACAAACAGTAAAGATTTTTAAGTGTAAGAATCAAAATACTGTTTTATTCAACAGATGAAGTCAGAGAATCGAAAGTACAGACCATTAAAGATCCGAGTGATTTCTCAGCAGACATTTTGTTCTTGGGTGTTCTCTTAACCCTGGCCCTGCCTTCTAGGTGGTCCGTAGGGTCTTTCCAGGAATCCCCTCCAGGCCCGGGCTCTCCTTACTCTGCCCTAAGACTCTGTTCCTCCCCCTCAAGTCCCCACTGTTTCACCTCCTAGCCTTGTCACCTCCATTAAAACCCTCTTTCCTGTGCCACACACACTGAGTTCTCCCGACTGCCAAGTTTATGAGTTATTAACCCCCCTGGGAGACAGACAAAGACCCTTCTTCTCTCTGCAGGAAGCACATACATTTCAGCAGTAGCCTTCCAGCAGCATCTCCCCTGCCTCCGTGGTCTAACCTAAAATGCTAGCGTGGGCGGTGGGGGTCCCACGCCCTCTAGGAAGAGGGTGCTTATGGCAGCGCTATTTAAGGGCCAGGCAGAGCTTCCAGTGACAGCATGCAGACGACCACCTCCTCTGCTCATGGCGTGTCCTGCCTCTACTATTCACCCTCAAGGACGGAGACCCTACGGCAGAAAATCAGGAAGAGCCATTTTTTAGCTGCTGCTGGCGCACAGCTGAGAGTTGACTCGGTTCTCGCTATGGAGCCGGGATGTGTCATGCTTGGAAAAGCTATTGGCGCAGGGGGTGATCTCATTAAAATCATAAAATAAACTAAAGCAATCAACACTGCATCCTTGGAAAGCTGGAATACGGCAGGAGCTCAGAAATTGCTGGTAGGCAAAAAGATCCTTTTTCACAAGGCTGGGGGAGGGGGGACGGTGGAGATTCCAGCTCCAATTCTTGTACTTAGGTGTCTGAATGCATGCGTACCCGTCTAATCACATACCTTGCTTCTTTGGCACTCACGCGTACAAGATAATCGGCCTTGATACGTTAAAAAGTCAGCATCACCCAGCAATTTCCATCTTTGGTATATACCCAAGAGAAAAACTTAATGTATTTTCATGAAGAGACACAGATAGGAAGTTTCATAACAGTGCTAGTCATAATAGCCTCAAACTGGAAACCACAAAGCAATCAGCAACAGGAGAATGGATAAATAATGCAGCGACGAGAATGAACGATCTTCAACTTTGCACAGAATACAGGTGGAGCGTCATACAGGCCTCATGCTTAGTGACGGAAGCCAGGCGCAAGGGAGCACAGTACAGGATGACATTCACGCACAGCATACACAGGCCGGTTTAGTATGATTTTAGGACTCAAGACAGTGGTTACCCATGGAGGCACGTGGTGACCATGCAGGAGGCACGAGGGAGCTCATGTTCTGTTTTGTTTTGTTTTGTTTTGATCTGGGTGCTGGTTTCGTGGGAGCAACCTGCTCTGAAATCTCACTGATGTGCACCTTTGTACGTATATTATAATGTAATAAAAATTCATTTGACAAGCATAAGGCTTCAGTTAGGCA